TTCTCAGCCTTTATGTTCCCATACCCGCAGCTACAGCTGCCGGCTCCACTGGCTTGGGTTATTGTGCCAAGTCACTGAGGGTCTTATCTCAGACCAACTAGATTCCCTGGCTGAGGTGGTTCTTCAAAATAGAAAATCTCCTCCTGGCAGAACAGGGGGGTCTCTGTCTTGCTTTACAGGAACACTGCTGCTTTTACAAAATACATCAACTCCAAAAATCTCTCCAACAATGTAGAATGGTCTGCCTGGAATGGTCTCTTCCCTTTCCTGCTCCCCCTCCTTGGACCATTCATTGGCCTTTTAATTGTTTGCTCACTGGAACCTGTTATATTTAATAGGCTCATGTCATTCCTCAAACAACAAATTGACTCGCTTATGGAAGACCAACAGCCCTATACTGGTCTCGCCTGAGGCACTGAATCGGTTAGCCAAAGACGGGTAAGAGAGTCTAATGAACCCAATAATTGTTCAGTCCTTCCACCTTAGACAGGAGGCCCATCATAGCTATGGGACTCTCCAATGACAGGTAAGAATGGACGTATGGTCCCATAAACGACTCCAACCTAAGACAGGCACAGTTCCCCCAGGCCTTTTCCTCATCTCTCAAGACAGAAAAGGGGGATATGTGGGAGGCTGTGCACCAGTGAGTCTGCCAAGGTCATTAGGTTCCAGTTTCTCAGAAAGCAAACAATTATACAGTGCCAAAAGCCATGATTGGCTCCCCTTCAAAAACCTCACCTTCAAAACCTTGCTCTGATTGGCCACTAGAATCCCTCAGATTTGCATATCTGGCACCTCATGATTGGTCCAAAAGCAACCAATCGTAACCTACCTTTTACAACCAAGCATAACCCACCTTTTACAACCAATCACAGCCCACCAGCATGTATATAACCACAATGCCTGGCCCACAATCGCCAGACGACCTGGAAGACCCTGAAGAGTTGTAACACCGTGTTGTCTCCGGACAACCCTGAAGAGTTGTGACACCACGTCATCTCCATGCTGCTCACAATAGACGACGCAACCCTGAAGAGTTGTAACACTGTGTCATCTCCGTGCTGTACCGTGCTGCCCACAATAAACGGACAATCCTGAAGACACTGTGTCATATTCGTGTTGTAACACTGCACCGCTTGTCCCGGCTCTCACTCCTTCCCTCAGGAAACCTGTTTGACTGTCCCCCCGGGTCGGGACAATGTCCAACTATGGTTCTAGCCCCTGGACCTGGAGCTTCTTTTCTCACTTTCCTTCTCTCTCTGTCTCTGTGGTCAAATTGAAAAATAATAAATAAATAAGTTATATGAGCCCGGAAACATCATAAAGTTATATATGTATGTTTTGAGTTTTATTTGTTGCATAATATGCCACTTTATATCTTTCAGCTAGAACACTAAATTTGAATAAATATATTACAAAATGAATTAGAGCCTAATTAAAATTTGCTTTGGGGATGGGAAAACCACAATTCTACTCAGTTAAGAAAAAACATTTTTATAGAACAGAGTTTATTTATTTTAATACCTATCATGCCATTAATTCATAGGGAATAACTTCCAGAAGCTCAAGCTTCTTTCCATTGGTTCTCAAGAAGTGTGCTTCTGGGACCAGCAGTTAATGTACTGGCTATGTCTGTGGACTCCCATGTAGTCGACCGTGGTTCGAGTCCTGGACCCAGTGGCTTAAACTCACACCGGGCACGTGTGCGTGTGTGCCCAAGATCCTGAGAGGAGAATGGAGGAGAAGGGATTGTGTCATGGCTATGGGGGGTGATTTCTCGCTTTCTGTCTCTGTCTCTCTCTGTCTTCCTGGCAAGCACACATGCTCTATAGCAAAAACCTCTCCAAAAAAAAAAAGTGTGCTTCTCTGGGTAGAACAGGCTGAGTCTTCAGCTGAACCCAGTTATCTTCTTTGTCTTCCTTCTTTTTCTAGTCATTTTCATTCACACATTTTAGAAAGTTATCTCTGCTCTTAGAATGATTAATATGCTCAATATACACATTAGTTCTCTCGGCAAGAATCTTGCCCTTGTTTGTTTTTAACAATGCCAACAGCATGCTGAGTAACACTGTAGACTCTTTCCATGGTGATATTTGTGGAACATTCCTTTTTGAAAGATACCCATTCCCTTGATGTCTACAATATCACCTTTCTTGTAGATCTGCATGTTTGTTGCCAAAAAAGGCATGTTTTCTAAAAGGCCTAGGGAACATATATTGGGTGCTTCTCCTCTTTGTCTTTATTTTCATCATTTTGGTGAATTACCAGAAGATGATGATTCCAGCCAAAAGACCATAAGGTTATATTCTTATCCCTTTGGCCCTGGTTCAGTCCTTACTGAGTTTCTACTTACAACTTTGATATGGGGTTGTATTGAAAGAGCAAAAAGGAAAATATTGTTCACTTGACTTAATTGTTTTTATAGTTATGGACAGTTATTTTCCTTTGTCATTGAAGACAAAAAGTTTTGAGATATTTAATTGTTCAAAGATGGAACCACTTAAAAACTGAAGTAAATGCAGTTGGACAGTGAAGTTATGCACAGAAACAGATGAAGAGAAGAAATTGAAAGTAGAGATGTGAAAATTATGGGATTAGTAACACAATGAAATGATACTCTTTATAGGCTGTATTAGCTATATGGGTAGGATAGAACAGTGATTGTCAAATTTGAGCATGCAAGAAAATAACTTAGGAAGCTCATTAAAACATAGATTGCTGTCTCATCTTTTCCAATAAGAGTTTCAGATTCAGTAGGTCTGGGGTAACTCCCATAAATCTGTATTTTTAACAAGTTTCTGGGTGATGCTGATGTGGATCCCACTGGTCTAAGGACTACACTTTGAAAACCACTACTTTAAAGGAAGGAAGAGAAAATATAGATATGGTAACAGATGTGGAATAGAGAGAAAATATAGATATGGAAACGTGTTCACTAGGTTAACAATGATAAATTGAAGGCATTATACCAAGTGTGATATATATGATTTTGACTTCCGATTCTCAAAATATTTTGAAGTTTGAGAAGCACTGATTTATAACAGTAGTAATGGCTAGGAAGGCTCTATTTCATAAGAAATATGTTGCAAATAGAAATCATTGCTTGTATAAGTAATGTATGAATACTGATTTGTGTAGGGACCTAGTCTTTTCCAGTTTCAACCAGTTTTTTTAAGATTTGACAATTTTTTATTAATATAATAATTGTACATTTTTGTGGGCACAATATGACATTTTGGTACGTGAGTATATTTATTAATGATCAGGTAATAGAATTAGCATATCCATCACATTAATTAACATTTCTTTGTTATGAGAATATTCAAAATCCTCTCTTCTAACTATTTAGAATATGTGAGGGGACTTCAAAAAATCTGTGGAAAATGTAATTAAAGTTTGAATTTGTTTAAATATAAAGAAGTTTTGAAATACATGCATAGTTTCTTCATAATACACATTTCCCTGAACTTTTTGAAGAATTCCCCCATACATTGCAATAGTTATCTGTAGTTCCCTTATTGTGCATTACAATATCTTAACTTATTCCTCCTACTAAGATATTATGAAAAGTTAAGTGAGTTGCCAAATGAAAATAGTGCTACCTTACATCAAATACTTACTAAATATCAAGTTGTAAGTTCTTTGTAAGAATTATCTCATTTAATATTCATAAGAACACAATGAGTTATTACTATCAGTATCTGCATTTTACAGATTTTGACATTTAGCTCGGAGAGCATAAGAAACTTACCTACAGCTGTCTAGTATTGGTAAAGCTGGGATTTGAACACAGATAATCTAACTTCAGAGCTTGTCCACTTGATCTCAGCCCTGAAGTTTTATGCCTTCTTGAATATAAGAGCCTACTCAGGGTGGAGAATATGAATTGCACTCAAATGTGTTACCTGGCTTTGAGGCTACCACTGTGTCACTTACTATTGAAATAGTAAAGAAAACACATGTGGACCTATCCTATTCCTAGGGCTTTGGCAAATGGAATAAGAATCCATAGTGGGCAGTATAAAGTAGAATCAGCAAAGCAAAACAAAAGAAAAACTTCAACTTGAAGGATTTAGGTCAAATTTAATATACAGGTCACCTCCTGCCCCCACCCTGAATTGGGCTACTGGCAGTAGTTAAAGTTTTTTTTTTTTTTAACCATTTATGACATTTTATTAGCATGTGACGATTTACAAGGTCCCTGTTTCATTGTACAGCACACTGAGTAAGAAGCGTTTAGCCATCTACATTCATTCTTATTGGGTAATATTTTTCTTTCTCAAATTGTAATTCCTACTGATTTTAACTGTGACAAAGGGAACAATAGTAATTAGACTACAATTAGAAAAACATATCTTGCTTTTAAAATTCCTAAGACATTTATTTATTTATTTATTTTTGGAGAGATTTTCACTGTAGGGCGCATGCGCTCGCCAGACAGAGAGAGGCATAGAGACAGAAAGCGAGAAATCACCCCCCAGGGGGGATGGTCATGCCGCAATCCCTTCTCCTCCATTCTCCTCTCGGGATCTTGGGCACGCACGCACACGCGCCCGGCGTGAATTTTAAGCCACCAGGTCCGGGACACGAACCGTGGTCGACTACGTGGGAGTCCAGCGACATAGCCATTACGCTAACTGCTGGTTCCCAAAATTCCTAAGACATTGAAATGTATACACAACACTTACAATACCTAAGAGCTGAATCATGGCCTTTTTTTTTTTTTTAAGAGGTTTTCACTATAGGGCGCGTACGCTCGCTAGACAGACAGAGAGAGACAGAGGGACAGAAAGCGAGAAATCACCCCCCCCCAGGGGGCATGGTCATGCCACAATCCCTTCTCCTCCATTCTCCTCTGGGGATCTTGGGCACGCACGCACACGCGCCCGGCGTGAATTTTAAGCCACCAGGTCCGGGACACGAACCGTGGTCGACTACGTGGGAGTCCAGCCACGTATCCATTACGCTAACTGCTGGTTCCCAATCATGGCCTTCTTAAACAGCATTCTTAATCCTTTCTGGAAACATCCTTTGGTTCATTTTTATTTCACTTCTCTGAATAAAAGGACATCTACTAATGCAAATATCAAAAGAGTTATTT